GTGGGCTGACTTATGACTGAGAACCAAGACCAGGAAAGGAGACCCCGGTCTCGCACAGACAGTAGACATTGATTGGCATGGGAATTCCAAGAACTCCCAATTCTTTAAGGATCCATAAGGCCATTCGCTGACAGTCTAGAGATCCCTTTGAGGGATAGCATGGGATACTCATGTCTATTCTCCCGGTGCACCCACTGCCAATGAATCAAAACACCTCACCTATAGTGATGTTCCCATTTGTTTTTTTCTATGCCAGCCTAGCAACAGCCACCATCTCATCATGGTTGGTATGCAGTGATATGTATTTTTCATCCTCCCCAACATGCTGTCCTAAGTCAAAAAAAACAGCCTAGAGCTGACTTGGTCATCAGGAGAGAAACGCCAGGCTTGAGGGGGCAGAGCTAGGCAGCCGGTACAGTAGGGCAGATGGCTCACTATCTTAGGAATGTGTTTTAGATGAAAGATAAGGCTTAGACTGCACTCCCCATTCGCTCCTGCCACTCTGATTGATGTTCAGAGGCAGTACCAGTGACCTGGCCCGTGCGATGGCTCCTCCGGTGGGCGCTAGGACAGTCTAAGTCTACGCTACATTGTCCTTTGATCAAAATACCACCCCAGTCCATATGTCACCTACTCACACACACACATCTCCTTTGACTAGGCGCTCTGTCCTGGCTCCAGCCTGTGTGACAGTCTGGTCCACTAGTTTATAATATCAGGGCTCCCTCTGTTTCCTTCAGCCTCCCATCTTGTGAATACAACTGCCGAGTCAGTATCCATTGTTCAGGTAAACAGAGGCTTGATGTAGTAAATTACTAGGTTGAAACTTTTGTACAATGCAGGGATTGATCTGTAAAAGAGGAAAAGTCAGTCTTCGCAGCACCGATTGAGCTAGAAACAAGGTTAGCAGGCCACCGTGTTGTGGAAATTAAATCAGCACGATTAGGTGGGGATCATGACCAATCTCATACCGCTTGGAGTTTCCTTTAGGACCCTTTAACCACATTTGACCCCAGTCACTGTGTTGGGGCTTTTGTTTTTCAGTCAGTATGCACGTTGTCCCTACCCATATAGAAATGGGAGGAAAAATGCTCAGGGTTTTAGTCCCTTACTCGGCAGTGCAATTAGATTGAAATGAAATTTAATGCAATACTGACTTGTCTCAGAAACTATCTAAGGGTGAAAGTCACATGGCCTGGGAAGGGTTGATTTCTGCCCATCATGCTTCGAGATGAGGTTGCTGTCACTAAGTCTGCCAGCCCATGTTTGTGCCTAGCTCCCGTCTTTCTAGGCTCACAGACATTCTCCTGTTCTGAGCAGCATGGGTCTGCTAACAGAGTGTTTCAAACACTAGAGAGTGGGCAGCCGTAGCCTTGGTATTTTGAAGTTGGAATGTGGAGGAGACGCTTGAGTTTTCTATCAATTATTAAACGGTCATAGATGGAGATAAGTAGAGATGGATGGGACAGCGAAGTCTTCCAGCAATGCCTAGCTGCTTTACAGTGATAAATGAGTCAGGAGACAGGAAAGTTCAAAACAGGTATCAGCTGAACTGCAGCAACCGCCTATGGAGACCAGCTGGTTGGTAGGATTAAAACAAATATGAAGTCTTGGCAAGAGGACAGAGGAATTGCACACTCCTGCCATTCGATTCACCCTTTCTCTTATGTGCTTCTCAAGGAAGATAGAGCTCAGAATAATGTCGGCAATTGCAAAACAAATGAGACACCTTTTATGGTTTAGGGCAATACCTTAGTTTCCAAATTGGAGGGTTCTAGTGGTATTAGCTGGGACTGTGTGATTTAAACCTGAATCCTGCCCTAGTTTCAGCTATATAGATGTTAAGGAAAGACATTTCAGGGTCTGAGGAGAACTGTGTGTTTGTTGACTCTGGGAAAGTAGCTTTCCCTTTGCTGAGAATAGCTTTTCTCTTGGCAGGTGAGCCGGGGTTCGTGTTCGAAGAGCTACTTAACTCTTTGTTTTGATGCCTACCTTCACCCAAATGAAAAAGCTCAACCTTGGATCTCAGTGGAGAGGCTTCACAGCCCACAGTCCAGAGTGTGTGTAAACATTGCTGCCTGAGTCAAGGACACGAACTGTACAGAGTAGAAGCTTAGAGCCTAGTTTCTGTGAGCCAGGCATGGCAGCACACATAAGTAATCCCAACGCTCGAGAGGCTGAGACAGAGAGATGACAAGTTTGAGGCCAGCCTAAACCTAAGACCAAGGCAAGCCTGAGGCCTGTCTCAGACAAAACAAAAGAAAACAAACAAAAAGCAATGATGATATGAAGTTGGCATTTTTTGGTTCCCGGCTGGGTCTCTCCACCTTCTTATTGCTCATATGCCCTCTCTGTCTCTGTCTCTCTCTGTGTCTTTCCATCTCTGTCTCTCTGTGTGTGTGTGTGTGTGTGTGTGTGTGTGTCTTTCATATGCTAGTGTTTGAGCAGTTTGAGAGTCTTGATTCGTTCCTTACCAATTGACAGAAGCTAACAAGTGAAAAGAGTTGACTGCGCCTACCTTAGGTCCTAGGCGGGTCAGGAAGCTATTTCTGTACTCACTGAAAGGCCAAAAGCCATAGAGATGTCAGAAGTACACGCTAACACTCAAAGAGTCATCTAGAGATCTCAGAGAGGGCATTCTAAGGCAACCGCAGGCAGCTCACAGCTGGCTTCTCTCAGCGAAGAGTGAGCAGCTGAGATACGGAAGCTGTAAGAAAGAAAAGCGAGCAGACCCTTTATGTGAAGTGGCAAGTCTTCCAGCCATGTTGGGCTTCACTAAGCCTCTGTTCATGTGTGCCTGCTATGGGAACTGGTCCTCTAACCTTACATCAAAGGCTTAACAACCACACGGCTTATTCTGTGCTTCATTTCCTGAGAAAATGGAATTGATTTCCAGTTTAGATCAATAAGGCATGAGGTCACCTTATCTAAGCAAAGATGATCATAAGCCAGAAATCACAAATACTTGCCCCATAAACCATATGCAACCCATAGGTAAGATCTGTGTGGGGAGCGGACACACCTGTTGTAAGCATGTTTGTGTAAGCGTGCAGGTACCTGTCCCATTTGAGTGTCTGTGGGGGTGAAAAGCTGTCACTCAGTATCTTTCTCTATTTCTTTCCATCTTTTTACTATATATTAAAATTATTGTTTGACAGTTTCATACATGTGTAGACTGTATTTTGATCATACACACCATCTCATTATCCTCTCTCATCCCTCTCCCACTCCTATTGAACCCCCTTTATTCCTTATTTTGGAGACATTCTCTCTCACTGAACCTGGGGCTCACCTATTGGCCAGACCAGCTGACAGGCGAGGTCCCAGACTCTTCCTGCCTCTTCCTCCTAGCCCTGGGATTAGAGATAGGCACTACACACACAGCTCCTTTTGAGTGCTGAGAACCCAAGCTTCTGTGCTTGTCCAGCAAGCCCTTCGCCCACCAAGCCTCCCCCTCAGCCTACAGACAGATTTTCTCTTTAGCACTAGGCCTGGTAGCACACACCTGTAACCCCAACCTCAGGGAACAAAGGCAGAAAGATGTCAAGGTGGGAACCAGCCCGTGATATATCTGACATCAAGTCAAGCCTGGACTACCCAGAGCCCTGTCTCATAAAAGGAAAAAAAAAAAAAAAAGCCACAGATTGTTTTTATTGTCATGTGTTGAAAAGAGAATGTATTATCATTCTATAGAATTTGAATGTTTATGAGTTGTTTGTGTTGCGACCTAGATGTCTGGGTGCTAATTCCTCAAAGACTGAGGGCAGCAGACAGCATGTGCTGGGCTGCACTTGCTCCTTAAAAGGGACTCCTTTATCCATGCTCCTTCCTTGCCCTGGAGGGTTTGAACTGACTCCTGCACTTGAAAGTACTGAAGGCTTGTGACTTACACTCACGACTCCTGCACAAACAGTGAGAGTTAAGAATATTCTCGATATACAGAAAAGACACTGTGTGTGAGTTGGAGAATTTTATGACACTTATACGAATAAAGCAGTTTACCAAGAACATCCTAGAATGATGATACACAAGTAAGATGTAAGACTTGAGGTCGTCTGGGATTGTTGCCGTGGTTTTCCACCTTACCCTTGCCTTTGCTGTCATAGGTTCAGGCTCCAGAGAATCCTCCATCAGAGGCCATAGTCACAAGTCTTTGCCTCTTTTGTTCTTTCACTTTCCTTTCTCTTTTATGCTCTTTCTTCTTTATCTCTAAGTTCATTTGCACTCTCCAATTGTGTAAGCCATGCGGAAGAGTGATTATGGAGAGTTTAATCTCTGACATTTTTCTAAAACTAGCCCTGATAAATCTAGTCATAGGTAGCTCACGTGTCCTTGGGCCTCAGGGGTGCTAAGCGTGTAAGCTAACATCTCAGCTGTGGTTACCTGTGCTCTGCATCCCTGGTGCCTGCACCTTTCTCTAATACTCCCCTGACCTCGTGACACTGTCTTTCCAGTACCCTGTCATGGAAAAGGGTGTGCTCCCGAGGATGTGCTGGGTTTATGCAAAAGGGGAGAGCCCTGGTGAAGTTGGAGGGCTAGCGGGGTACCTTTGTTCTCTCCTGTGATTGGCATCATCATCGACATCTGCACCCTGCTTCCCTCAGGCCTAACCCAGACCACCACACTGACACCTGTTTGGGACACTTTCTGGAGTGGAAAAGGGGTCTGTGGTTAGTGAAAATTAGCGAAGAAAACCACCCCCATGAGCAACAAAGAAATTCACTTTCTCTTCCACAAAACAGAAGGGTGTGAACAGAGGGCCTTAACCCTCTGTTCGCCCGGATGTTCCAGGAGTTCACAGTGTGGTGGGGGCACCTAGGGAATTCGTTTTCCCAACTGCTACTTCAAGTGGTACTTAAAATGCAGAACATAAAACCCTGTGAATTCCACTGCACAGCCGGAGCCCTAAGCCCTTAAATGCACAGAAAAGTGTGTCTATTATCTACCCTTTCAAAGTAAGTGTGCAGTTACTTAAATTGCTTTTGTCTTCTTCTTTTCAGCTGACATTATCTCTACGGTAGAATTCAACCACACAGGAGAGTTACTAGCGACAGGGGACAAGGGGGGTCGGGTTGTAATATTTCAGCGAGAACAGGAGGTAAGTATCAGCCAATTGGAAATTCTCATTCTCTTCCCTTTTTAGAGGAGGACTCCCACTGTGTCTTAATCCTCACGTGTCTGTCGCCCTTAACCTTGCCTGGCGCTTTGCTCACCAACAGTAAAACTGCCAAAAAAAAAAAAAAAAAAAAAGTCATTAGCATCCACAGTTCTAAGTTCAACCTCACAAAAGCACCTCAAAGAGGGTTCTCCCTGGACAGGGCCTTATCATTCTGCATAGTGAGCATTAGGAAACAGCAGCTGTTCTCATCTGACCTGCAAAATTCCACAGGTGCTTACAAAGGAGAAAACTCCAGCTGTTCTCTTGGGATCTATCCTCCTCCGGGTGTTGAAATTCAATCTCCCTTCATTTCAGGTACTGCCAGAATACATAGGAGAGAAAAAAAAAATAGAGCTTTATTTGACAGTGATAAAGAGAGCATGTTGGGTCAATAGAGAAGAAAGTGACGCCCAGCCTACCAAAGGGGCAAAGCCTCCAAAAAGTCAGCCCATCATATAACCCATGTTAGTATGGGTCCCTGGAGCTGAATATATCATATAATGCTATTCGGTGGCTGGTTTCTTCCTGAGGCTTGGGTTCTACTAGGACCTCTTTCTCTTGTTCACATAAATTGAGTATGCTCCCCCTCCCCCCACCCCCGTGCCTGTTTCTATTTTCTCAGAAAGGAATTATGGCCCGTTTTGATTTCCTTGCCCTCTCCTGGCACACTCCAATCCTTCCAGCAGGGTAATCTGTGTTCTAGTGCCTCTCCCATCTGCCACTGCCTGCCTCTGAGATTCACTGGGCACTGGGGAGGCATGAGGGAGGCCCGGTGTTGGAGGAGGACTCCACAAGAGACTTCCTGAGCAATTTAATGCCCGCTTTGTGCCTCCAAGCCATTTGCATTACACCTCCCCCTCAGAAGAGGAAAGCCTCATTTAGGGGTGATATATTTGGTAATTGCACATTATTCGCAATTAATTTCTATAAGGGTGTCATAATCCCTCGGGGTTCTGTGTAAATTCAAGTGCTCAGCATTAAATCAGGCACCCAACCCATTACACTGGCCCCAGCAACATGAAAATGTAGTTGGCAACCAAGAACTAAATCGCTCTTCGTGACCTGGAATTTTTCCTGCTTTTTCCAGAGCTGCCTGGTGCTAATTGGTCTGGCACATGCTACACACACTTGACAGTCTGATTTGGATGGTAGCAAATCAACCCTCTTAGAAATTTACTGTTAAGATGGCCCAGGTCTGTGAGTAAGCAGGAGAATAGCAAGGATGTCAGCATCGAAAGTCCTTTGAAAACTGATTCTCAAATCTCCAATTTAAAAAAAAAAAAAAATCCAATTAGGTTCACAGCTATGATTAAGGGGAACTAGAAGAGCTATTTAGCATAAATTACCCAAGGCTGCATGTTGCCAGTAATATTCCACCTGACACTTTCTGCTAGCTATTTATAGGTTTCACCTATATTCCTTTAGGGGGTGATTTGGGAAGCCTGACTCATTAGGAGAATGATGTGGTACATACCTTCCAAAGCAGAGTCAGTACATTCCCTGGGAACATACAAGTCAGCGAGGAAGAGGATGGTGGATCCAGGGACATCACTGGGGGAAGAGGCTGTTCCACAGTATAGGCACTCTTAGATGAACTGCATAGAAGGACCTTGGTCCCAGTGTCTGCACCCTCGAGGTGCAGCAGAGGCACCCACTTCTGGGCACGCTGAGTTATGCCTATGGGTGTCCGGGTGTCCTATGTCTGTCTAAAATTGTGTGTTTTAAACTTTGAGCCATTTAAAAATCAAACACTGATTTAAAATATGTTTGAAAAGATCCAAATTTTAATTTTTGAAGAGATCTTCAAAGCCATACCTCAAAACTTTGGGTAACCTCATTCTAAAATACGTGTAATACAATCAAGCTTTCCTCTTGTCCCTTTTCCTCTTTGTCTCAATAGGATTTTTTCTCCTCTTCACCCTTTTCCCTGTGTTCATGCCCTTGACTTTGTGCTCCAAAATCTCATCATTTATTTAGTTCCTGCTGTTTGCACTTTGCATAATTAGTGCTTGGGGAAAGTCATAGGTAAAGCCCATCATTCTCCTCATGATGCAGATGGCACTCAGTGCAGATGGTCCTTTCATCACCCATGCTGGATTAAGAGGGAGGTGGGAGGGACTGGTGCCCAGGTCTGCTCCTTATAAGCTGTGTGACCTCAGAAGACTCACTTGTATCTCTGAGCTTCCAGGGTCCACCTCCCAGCTCTACCTACCTCTCCAAGAGTCGGTGAGCAATGAAAGTTGCCTTTGCTACAGCTTTTCCCCTTTCATGGGATTTGATATAAGTTATGTGTGAGCATCACCACAGAATGGCCCACCCAGCACTCCGTGAAATGCACAAAGATTTGAATATTAGATCTTCTATTTGTATTGATTGCAAACTCTTGTCCTATTTTAACATCTTTCTTTCTTCTTTCCTTTCTTTCTTTCCTCTTTCTTTCTTTCTTTCTTTCTTTCTTTCTTTCTTTTTTTTATTTGAGACAGAGTTGCAACCCTGACAGTCCTGGAACTCACTATTAGACCAGGCTGGCCTCAAACTCACAAAGATCCATGTGCCTCTGCCTCCCATGCTGGAATTAAAGGCATGCACCACCAGGCCTGGCAACTTCTGTTTCTATGACTATGTTATGATATGTATATATTTGTAAATATATAATTTAAATATGTAATTTGTGTATATGAGTGTGTGTATGTATGTTTCTGATATTTGCCATCACAGTGCATGCTTTTGGGACCAGTAAACCAAAACTGAATTTATTGCCGCAGTGACTGCGGTTTCCACTCTCTCTGAGGCAGCCCACTCCTAATGCTTCTCTCAAAGGGAGAAAAAGAATCCATGAGTTGGCACTGGCTTTAAATGGTTTAACCTTCTTTGTGTATTTTGCCTTCCTACAGAGTAAAAACCAGGTTCATCGCAGGGGTGAATACAATGTTTACAGCACATTCCAGAGCCATGAGCCCGAGTTCGATTACCTGAAGAGTTTAGAAATAGAAGAAAAAATCAATAAGATAAGATGGCTCCCTCAGCAGAATGCAGCTTACTTTCTTCTGTCTACCAATGGTAGGTGGAGGAGATATTTTCCTATTTGATGTTTTCAGAGACAGTCAGCCAGACCTGTAATTGTCCCTTAGCCTCAGTGTTCCTCTGTTCCTTGTGGGCTTGTGAGAAACTTAGAAACCCTGTTTGCAAGATGCTCAGCAGAATTCGTGATGCACACAGAGATGGATTCCGAAAATAGTAGCAATTCTTTGTATAAACATCGAATTTATGACCCAATTTTGCGGAACCCGTTATCTGCAGTTTCCTAATGTAGATTGCTTGCAGGTGTGTGGGGAATGTAACTTCCTGTCTTTAGATTCACTGCATGTTATTCTGGGAATGCATTTCAGGAAACTCGACATGCTGCTGGCATTTTGAAAAAAAGTTATTAATCCCTGAATATATTTTAGGGTCTGCAAAACAGATGTCTGTGTATCTGAAAAAATCAATTTCTGAGCTGGGAGCACATGACCAAAGGAGATGGGGATGCTCCCAAAAACTGATCAAGAACAACAGTCTCTTTATGTGCTTTCCAACGCTCCACTCCGTGCCCTTCCTAGATGCTGGTTTAGGAAGAACTGATATAAATAGAGAAGAGGGGATAGGATACTGACAAGCAAATAAAGCATGTTTACTCATTTGAATGAAGCTGATGACACTCCAGGATTTTAGTGCCTTTCTAGAAGGAAAAAAAAAAAAAAAAGCCAGTTTGGAGTTCAGTCACTACTGGAAAATGATAACAAGAGGATACAGAGAGAAAAATTAAAGACCATTGCCCAAGGAAAGGAGCTGAAGAGTGATTCATTTCATCATGTGTGGGAGTCTGTGCCAAATATATGCTTAAACGTAACTTAAGATTCTCATATCAAGTACAGAAAACTGAAGACAAAAGGCTTTCCATTACTATGTCTTGGCTGTGCATTATAGGCCACTTATAAATCTGTTGCTTTTATCATTTTACTTTTGAAAGTGTAGACAGTAAGTCATAGGTCAATCTTAGCGAAAAAAGAGAGAGAAAATGTGGTGCAGAAAGCCCACCAAATTCCTCAACTATAAAGGCAGGGTACAGATCTAAAACATGACAATTCTAAATTAACTATTTGGAGCTATTCAGGCATGTGTCAATATGATCAGATCTCTACTCATTTGTTTTTTCAGTATTATAGCAAAAATCATTTCTTCTCATACCTGCCATGTTTGTTTGGTTTTGGTTTTGGTTGTTTGGGGTTTTTTTGTTTGTTTGTTGGTTGGTTGGTTGGTTGGTTGGTTGGTTGGTTTTTTTTTTTTTTCTTTTCTTTCTTTTTTTTTTTTTTTTTTGGTTGTTTTTGCTTTGTTTTGTTTTGCCTTGTCTTTTGTCCTCTTTACTATTTGCAACCCTGGTCTCTTGGAGGCCAAATCACCTCACCTTATTTTCATTTGCTCTCTTGTGACTGTTTTCTGTTCAAGTCTCACTCACAGACTTAGTTGTTACACGCCGCTCAGAGCGAAAGAGACTCATAGTAGTTTTAATGTAATTACTTTGGTAGCAGAGAAGTGTCTGATTTTCTTCCATAGCTAGATTACATTATATTATGAAATTTAGCCTATTGATTATTGCAGTAAAATCCAAAGGCTTATTAACTACTTTGTAGGGGGGATGGGAAAGAAAGTGAAATTCAATGAAGATTAATTATATACCATAATGTTCTGTTAATTGAGTTTTTAAATAGTTTTTTGATTAACAAGGATATTATCTTCCCATTTGGGATGCTATTCCACATGCCAACCGCATCTCAAAATGACTCTTCTAAGAAAAATCCCCATGTTCTTACTCGGTTTTCTTTTCTATAATAACATTGAGGTTAAAAATCCACACCACCCCTCCTCACGCTGAATAGGTTAACATTCAAAAATTAATGGAAGACTACGGGAATTACTATATAAAAGATAAAATGAAGATAAATGGTTATGTTTAAAGCTGCCACAAGTGGTGATAAACTACTCAGAGAACAAGCCAGAAGAAAGAAAAAAGCCATTTCTCATATTAACAGCTGCGTGTTCCTTGGAGTTCTTTTCCCACAAAGCTTCAGGATTCTGAGTCAAATGAAAATGCTGCGATAATAAAGTCAAGTGCAACCCCAGGCCACACAACCTCAGGGAACTGGATTGAATTCTCCATCAATTATCTTCCTGAAGGAAAGGGTACTTATCTCATTAGTTGAGTATAGTTATTAATTCTACTAAAATGTGATTTTAGCTTTATAACTTTTAAAGAAAAATAAAGCTAACATTCCGTTGTGGAACAGGTCTTGAAGTTATTTGCCACACAAAGACACATTGCTCTGCCTGGGCTACTTATGCTGCCTGGCTGCTTATGCTGAGAAAGGCAGACTGCTAAGGTGTTCATGGTAAAAATTAAGAAAATACCCAGATACAAAACAAAGACAATGTATGTTCTGATACAGAAAGAATTAGTTAGTATTTTTTAGAGAAAAAGATGTAGATAATGTGTTTAACAGAAATATGATATATTCTACAGGTGTTTTTAAGCCAAGTTTTTAACTTGAAAAAAGAAAGAAAGAAAAAGAAAGAGAATACTTTTCTAGCCAATATTTTATTAAAATACCATATGACTGTATATTATCCCTCGTATGATTTGATTCTTCTATGGTTTAATAATATGTCTCCCACTATCAAGTGTTTAGTGGTTAACACATTCTTCTTTCAAATTGTATATCCTGTCATGTATTACACTCCCTGTGATAGATTCAGTAAATACATGTGTGTGGAGAGCTGTTGGTGTATAAGTATACAATCAGGTACAATGCATGTATTACCCATATGGCATAGTGCTTGTTAGCAATACTGGAGCAAGGAAATAGTGAAAGATTATACAGAAAATGTACACAGTAATTTTAGTCTACTAGGACTAAGGGAGGTTTTTTTTTTAACTTTTCTGCTCATTCTCATTTTTCAGTTACAATGCCATGTACCTCTTGTATAATAAAAGAAGAGAAATGATTGAATACATAACTTAGTATATGTAATATCATCATAGTTCCTTGCCTCAAAGTACTGCATACAGAAAATATAAGAATATCCATAAGAGATGGTCATGGTGGAACATGCCTTTAGTCCTAGCACTAGGTAGGCAGATGAAGGTGGACTCTGTTCCAAGCTACCCAGACCTACATAGGGAGATACCATCCAAAACAATCAAAAAAAATATATATGAAATTTTGATCATGGATTATCCTAAACTGGAAGTCATAAGCAACTTTTATCCTTGTGTTTTGCCTGTGATTTCTATCTATCCCTACAGCACTTTATCATTTATAATATAAAAATACAAGATTAATATGACTTGCAAACAAGTGGGTTTGAACACATTTCAAAGTCAAGAAACAGAAAAGATTTGGTGGTGAAATTCACAGGCTCAGGGTTGTTCTCAGCCACATCTAATGAGGAGGAAATCAAGTGGCTTTAAATATGGTCCATGTTTAAGTCTCTCACTCTAAAAAGGCAGCCTCATGTGAACAGGATCTCAAAAGAGCTTGGGACAAGAGAGATGTGAGCATAGAGCTAACAATTTCTAAATTAAGCCCACAGCTAGGACAGGTTCTCCTCCCAGGACATGTAGGAGTGAGCACACAGATGAGAATGTATGGCTCCCACAAGAAGCAGCCTTACCAAACATGAGAGTAGGCCTGGAGGCCCAAATAATACCCAGGCATATGAAAATGAATTTTTACTAAAATATCCCCATAGCTGCTGACAGCCCACAATACACTACTTTAAGACCTCTTAGGACAAGACATGAGCAACTCATGAACTGTGAGGTCATGTGCCTTTGCTCGCATGAATGGTGCTCCCAAAGGTGAAGAACTTGGAAAGTTATGATGTGGAGTCTGGTGAGGAGTGAAGGAGTGAGGCAGGACAGGAAACCCAAAGACGTCCCGTGAAAGGCAAAGAGGACAGCATCTTTCCCAGAAAATACAGATGTGTAGACATCCTTGTGGGATGAAGCTCAGGGCAGGAGAGTAACCTATTCTTAATGTAGAGTTGTGGCACGGAATGGCAATTCTAACCACAGCTGCTATTTGGACGCTACCATTAGAAGCCTAACACAGTTAAACATGCTGATTCATTCTGTCCTAAGACACCGCCCCCCCCATAGGAAAGATGCCACTTCTCAGAATAGACTGGGGTACAGAGTGACAACTGAGTAATGTTGAAATAGACATATGTATGTACTCTCGAATGGATATTTAAGTGGGCATTCTGTGATTCCTTATTTCCTGATGCTCACTCCTGACTGCAGTACTGCTTTGTGTGTGCAAGCACCATAGTCCTTGGCCATTTGGCTGTTGGGTGATAACTAAGAAATAAAAAAGAGGACATGACTCCTCCTTGGTATGCCGGAGGAGGTTTTTGTAGGTATGAGGGAGAAAACATCCAGAGGCAGAGACAAAGACATGGTCAGACTGAGTGAACATGGTCAGACTGAGCCATGCCATGTGAGGAGAGGAGCGGGAGGGAGAGCAAGAGGGGAGCCACTGGCCAAGACGGGTTGCCTGGGCTAAGAGACTGGCATACCCAACCAGCTGAGTTACATTGGGCCAGAGGAGCTGAAAGAAAGGTCAGTCCAGCCCTTGGACTGGAAAGTTCAGGGTAGAGACAGAGTATGCTAGCCAGGTGGACCCTGTAGTAGGTAGGGACTGAAGGATGCTGGGAGAACCTGGCAGCCAGAGTCTGCTTTGATATATTAATAGGCATCTCAGCCTTTTGCTCTGGGTTTCAGACCTAAGGCGGTGGTGGGAATTAGGTCCAACAATATCTCACACCAAATGCTGTCCAATCAAGACAAATACAGAGAAACTATGCGTGCCCCTGCTTTTCAGAAGGAAAGGCAAAGGCAAGCATGGACTGCAGATGTGCAGTCTGATAAGGAGGGTGTTCAAGGCCATATGGCACACAGACAAGACTGGCTTAGCCCAAACATGTTTTCTGAAAATGCAGAATGAGAGCCTGGGTGGGGCATGCCTCAACAGTTCCTCTGAGTCCCAGACTCTTTCCATCATCACCTTGGGCTGTCAACATCTGGAGGCATTAGAGTTCTCATTTTTATTTCAAAGCTATGGAAAAGGACAGGTGTCATCAAGAGATACTGTGGTAGAACGGTCTAAACTATAGTGAAAGGAGGAAGGGAAGAGGTGAGGAGAAGGGAGGGGAGGGGAGCAGAGTGACTGGTAACTTGTGTATGCCAGGCAGCTGAGTTATGCCCCCAGCCTGATAAGAGCATTTTGCTATGTCTCTATATTATTTTATTTCCCCTGAATATTGCAAAAGTACACTATTATAGTGAGGAGATCCATCCACATTCAAACTAATATTTATTTGAAATTGATATTGATATTATTGAGCTTCAGCCACTCTCCAGGTACCACTAAATGCTGGAACTACAGTGATAAACAAGGCAGACAAAACTCGAGTGTTCTAGTGACACACAGATAATGAAAACTGACCAGTAGCCAACTGATAGTGAAGTTGTCCTATGCAGAAGAAAAGGCAGAGAGAGGGGAGAGAAAGAAAGTGGTGGTAGTCAAGGACAAAGAGAGAATAAAGAACGGAGAATTGCGAATTGCGGTAGAATTATGTTTACATATACTTTATACAAACTACTCTGAGGTTGGGGCACAAACAACAACAAAAAAAAAAAACATGAAAAGGTCATGTGGCCTGGGAGATAATTCACTGGCAAAGAACTTTTCTAGCATTTACATGCCCTGGGCTTAACCCTCAGTGCCAGATAGAAGAAAGGTGAAGATAGATAGATAGATGATAGATAGATAGATAGATAGATAGATAGATAGATAGATAGATAGACCGACCGACCATAGACAGATAGACAAATCAGTAGGTAGAAAGACAGACAGACAGACAGGTAGACAGGTAGACAGACAGATAGCAAATAGCTCTCCTGGCAGAAGACACAGTCTGTTCAAAGGCCCTGAGGCAGACGTGTGCTTAGTGTTCTGGGCATAGGAAGAAGTCATGTGACAGTAGCACAGGGAGTTGGGGAGCAGAATAGCCAGAAATATTAGAGGGTCAAGGAAGGTGAGAGTGCCAGGTAACAAAGGGCCCTTGTAGGCATGGTGGGGACAGTGTCTAAGCAGGGTAGATGCTAAAAACAGAAATGGTAACAGTGCCCTGCTGCCCAGAGTGATCATGAGCAGTAGGTCAATGGTCCATGTGCTAACAGTTTCCTAATGAACTCTACATACGTGACTATTCTTATTCAGTTTTAGCCAAATTCAATATACTGAATGAGTCAAATTAAAATGTAAGGTATAAGTTTAACAGTGCATCAGCAGAGAAAGCCATTTGTCCCAACACAAGCTGTGCTTTTGTCCTGCCTTGTGAGCTTTGCCTTCAAATGACATGAGATTTATTCAGGACAGCACCTTGAAGAGCTAGTTCTATAGCCCATCTTACTACTATCATGACCTTGACCATTTGCACCCCTTTTCTCATCTCCAGAGAAAGCTTCCTTTCCCTGTAACCCTGACTTCTGATTGCCCTTGACAGATAAAACTGTGAAGCTGTGGAAGGTGAGTGAGCGTGATAAGAGACCCGAAGGCTACAACCTGAAAGATGAGGAGGGCCGGCTCCGGGATCCTGCCACCATCACAACACTGCGGGTGAGTGTCGCTGTTCCAGTCATGCCTTTCAGCACTCTGGGCCACCCGGGGACAGAACGTGCTCCCCTGAAGTTGGGCAAATGCTGGCCACAGCAGCAGATTAAAACTGTAAGACGTGATTGAAGGCACTGGGTAGAGCCTCAGCCTACCCGTCTCTGGTGGCAGATGGAGGAGTGGGAAAGGTGCCAGGCCCTAATGACTACAAAACCATGCTTCTGCTTTGTCCCCAAGGACCTGCCACATGGCCACTGCCATACGCCGCTGTGGTCTGAGCCTGTCTAGTCACATTATATAGCATGTCTTGAACACCTTCTGTAGTTGGACTAAGGGGCACAGGCCGATGGGGTGGAAAGTTTGAGTTTTGCCCTTCAGAACCCACGCGTCAGAATCTAACAGACCTCAGTTTGAACTCTGCAACTTATCAGAACCCTGCATGGTTATCGTACTTGTTCTTGTGCTATTTTAACTGACAGAAACCATTTAAAGGAAGAGTCGTGTATTTTAGCCCACAGTTTCCAGGATTTTGTCGAGGGTCAGCTGGCTCTGTTGCTTTCAGGTTGTGCTGAGGAATACAGTAAGGGCAGTTGTCATATGTAGACAGGATTAATGGTCAGAAAGGAAAGAGACAGACAGGTGGAGCCAGGGCAAGATATTCTCCAAAGACACATCTTCAAACCTACTCTCTCCAGCCAGGCTCCATCTTCCAGTCACTCCACCAAATTATGAACCCAACAACACATTGACTTGTTGACAACAACCCGTGTGATCCCAGATGCCTTTGGGTGATGAGATCCACCAGCGTGAGGACCAGGCCTTTCACACAAGAGCCTTTTTTTGGAGGAAATCTGTATTGAAAACAGCATTCATTTAATCCTTTTGGACTTTAGTCAGACAATTTAATCTTCCTTTCTCCCCCTGCAACTAGAAGTCCTGTTGTCAGTGAACTTGCGAACGTGGAAGGCAAGGGGTAGAAAGTCTTTCCCCTGTGGCTGTTACACTCGGCATGTACGTAGGCTCCGCTCTCAGTCTGTGTGGCTTCCTTATGGCCCACCTGATGTGCATAGCCTGGTAAGAAGGGGGCCATTACACACCCACACTCAAATGGCCTTAACTCCATACAGAGTAAAACAAATGCAGGCAAAGATAGTCGGAGAGTTGTTATTTGTCCAAAGAAGAAAGAAACGGAATTTGGTTCTGGAAGCCAGGAAAGGCCTGAGGGGGGGGGGGGGGCTGCTAGTAAAATGAGTATTTCTAATAATGGAGCATTAACAGAAGTCTCTCTAGACCAGTAGTTCATTACTACGTTAAGTAATTTTGCTTCTGTTGTGAATCATAGCGTAAATATCTGTGTTTTCCGATGGTCCTAGGTGACCCCTGTGACAGGGTCATTTGTCCCCCACCCCCTCTGAAAGGGGTCAAGACCCACAGGTTGAGAACTGTAGGTAAAAGTGCTTTAAGACTGGGTGGTTTATCTTTAATCTGTTCAGTGTAAACAGTAAAGCAAGAACAACTTGGGACCATCCCTAACCCCACAGGACTTCTAGAACTGTGAATTATGCCCTTCCAGACATCAGCTGATGTACAGAGGACCAAACCTGAAAGGGCCTAGCAGAGAAGCACACATCTGTGGGGAGAGAGGGTCTCAACCAGGCACACAAGCAGAAGTGGGCATTGGTGATCCCCGTGGGTCTCTACCAGCTCACAGCTTCATTCATTCATTCATTCATCTATTCATCAAATGCTTTCACACACTCTGCTGGCCACAGTACTGGGCTATTGAGGCTTTTCCTGTATTGATGGCCCCATGTCTTTAGCTGTGTTCCTTCTGAGCCCCACACACTGGCTGCTCTGTTTGCATGCCAGTTCCCCAGCTCTGCGGCAGGCCAGGTTGAGGAGTTGTCATCCTACCATACTGTTCTAAAAGTGCAGGGATTTGGGAGACTTCAAAAAAGCATAATGAAGAACGGGAAGGACCAGGTAGGCTGGAGTGGGTCAGAAGTATGACTGCACCTCTCCCCAGTTGGTGATAGGGGGCTTTTGACTGGAAACCTTGTATCTCTAGTGGCTTGTCTGTAAAACCCAGAGGACAGTGGTCACTATTCACTGTAGTTCTTACGCAGAGTCAATGAGACACTGTGTGTGTAATAAAGACCTTATCCTATATAATATCTGGTACCCAGAAAACACTCTGAGCTAGTGTTCTACTTAGGGTTACCATCATCGCTAGCCATCATCATCATCATCATCCTCACCCTCACAACCACCACCACTGTCAGCATACCCTTTATTACCCTCGTTGTATGTGTGTCTGTGTGTGTGCGTGCATGAATAAGGAAGAGAAGTCATGTTTTCTTTTTTTATACTGTTTTATTTATTCCCTAAGCTATTATGGGTACATAGTAAGCACCGTGCCAGAAATGGGACAGGAATTAAGACCATCTTTTGTCTCATGGCAGTCTTGTGAGAAAAGCAAATGACCTAAATGCCGGTTCTCCATCAAAATGCCCCTGAACTCTACCGTGGACTCTGTCTGTAGTGATGCGTTGTTCTGAAAATACCTCTTGCATTCAAAGACATTATACTTCTCCAGGCCTTGAAGCCAAGTAAATATACCTTGAGATCCTTCAAGACTGTGTACTTAACCTGCTGTCCCACCTTACTCGGTCTTTTTCAGTTTAACCTGCCTTTAGGAGAGCAGTGTAAACAACTTTACTATGCACAGCCAATCTTAAGTTTTATTCTCTTCCATGCCCTTGACCTAGAGTAACGTCCCTGTGTATGTGTGTGTTGTGATAATAATTTGCTGAAAGTTGCCAGTGGGTTGGACCTTTAACACAACCTTTAACACAAATACCACCATAAATGTTGGCAGCAAAATGGATGTTGTCTGATAACATCTGTTTGCAGTAGCGTTCACTCTTCTGGGTCAGTTGGGACTAGTAATGTCTTCTCTTATCTCTGTTAAAGATTTCACATTTTCTGTGCTGTTCAGTATGGAGAAAAGCCCATTCTTTTAGGGACAGACAAACATCAGGCACATGTACACACTCATATACAACAGACAGACTACAGACAGACCAGTAACCACAACTACAGACAGATGGAAGATAAAAGGGGAAAAGTGGAAAACTTAAATTTGGGCTCAGTCTTGATCAAATTATTCCAAAAGGAGATACTTTGTTTTTATTTCTTAATGTGACATCGATGCATTTTGGTGCCTCTGAAATTATCTTTAACGTGTTAACCGGTACATCTGCCTTTGTTTGCTGTGGGGCCATCTGCAGAGCCCGCTGTGGTTTTCCCATTGCCAGTGGCATCCTATGGGATCCCATAGCTCTGGGTCTAACCCCGTGGAGGCGCCATGCCAGTGACAGAGGAGAGAAGGCTATTTACATTCCCTCTAGAGGCACCGAGACAATGATGTTAATGAAGTGAGCTTCGGGACACCCCCGACAGAGGCCGGAGCTGAGCTTCTGAGGCTGCCACTTAGAAAATAACAATTCTAACTCCAGTTGTTAGTGACCAGCTGTGTGGCACTGAACAATGCACTCTTTTTTTTTTTTTCCCCTCCTTGCTTTTCAGCTGTTAAGGCAAAGAGCTGGAGAAATTCACATCAGAGACCCAATTTGCATTTTCCAAATTGACGCTGGGGTTGGTGAGAACGGTAGGGTCTGTGGTCACTAGCATCTACCAATCCCCTTAGAGTGTGATTCTTTTTCCTTTAGACTTCTGTTACTTTTCAGTCACAGCAATTATAACGATATAAACATACTTACTCTAAGAATTATCTTACCCATGTTTCACTCCACTCCTTACCTTAAAATAACATCCATTTTATGTAAACATCCACTTTCTGTACTTTCCCCTTCAAAGCTTCAAAAAGGCCCTTCTCCCTTCCTTTTTGATCCTGACGGAGAAGGAAGAAAACAAAAGCAGCAAAGCACCAGCAGCAACCCTGAAATCCACAGACTCAGAGCAGTGACCCCACACAGAGAGCAGTCTGATGTGATATTAATTAGACTGCACTTTACCAGCGTATTCTGCTCTTTAAATCTGCATCGCCAGCAACTGTGTCCCCCTGCCCCCACAGCCTCAATGATTACCACTTGATCATTTTCACAGTATCCAATTCCACGTGGGTCTTGAGAGTGGGAACATTTAATAATACCCGACAGCTAATTAATCCTCACTGTGTAACAAACCCATCCTGCTTCAATTCTGAGAGGCTCAGCTTCTTTAAATGAAAGCATGTAAATCTGGCTTTTTTTTTTTTTTTGTATGGAGGATGCTCTTTCAAATCCAATCGCTTGTTACCCAAAGAGCCCAGGAGAAGAATGTCTCCCTGCTCCCCATCCTTATGTCCCCAAGATAATCATGATGATAATTGAAAAATAGCCACTGGGTGCATTCTTACGTAATGCCTCAGTTTGTCTTCAGAACACACAGTGAGGAGGATGGGTCAGGTATTTGCAAGGAAGTTGCTGGAATCTAGTGTGTACTGAGTCTTCACTGTGCCACAAGCATGCTGCACTCCCTGTTTGTGGCGGCTGCCCCTCAGGCCGATAGGAAGCTCCAAGAGAGGAGTTTCCATACTCAGCCTGCAGGACTGTCAGGGGCACATTGATCTACTTTGCCCCTTAAATTTGACACAGACTCCAAGAGAGAGAGCAACTGGCTCCTCTCTTTCAGTTAGTTGTCATTTTACAGCTAAGACCTAAACCAAAGCCAGGATTCTCAGCATTATTCTCAGACATTGGGGCATTTAAAGTGCTTATGTCTCATATGTTGGGGGGGACACGAGTACAGATGAGTATGCATGTACACTTTTGTGTACCAGAGTGTATGCATGTTCACATCTGTGGGTATGTGTGTACGCATGTACATGTGTATGTATACAGGAGCGTATGCATGTACAAATGTGTGGGTACCAATGTGTGTTCATGTCCACATGTATGTGTGCATGTATGTGCAGGCCCAAGGCTGGTAGCAGGTGTTTTCCT